GGAAACAGCAGACTTTATTCTCGTCACAATAACAGACAACAAAACTCGAAGACGGTTTTACTCGTAGGAGAACTCGGGGATCGTCAAAGACACAGAATTACAGATCTCACAGGGTGCACAAAAATCTCAGACTAGGCAAGTTGCTTCGTCGAGCGCCACAACGTGACTAAAACGTTCTCCTTCTCGCTCTTCTCCAACAACGGCTCGCTCGAACATGCTGCTTTTTCTGGGGCCAGTCATAAAAAACGACTCCTGGAATCCTTCAGCACAACAAAAAATTAATTAGTTAATTAATAAAAAAGTAAAAATTGAATTATTTGTTTTTAAACAAATCTAATCTTTATTTGGTTTAAATTATGATGTTTATTCAAAAATTAAGTCTATTAAAATTAGATTGGAATTTTGACTATTGAAATATAGCAATTTTTTTAAACTATTTGACAATTTATTTAAAAAAATTATTCAGCAAACATTATTATTATTTTATTTGATGTTTTTCAATTTTTATGTACATTTATTAGCAAACAATAAAAGTACTAAAAATGTTTTTTAAAAATGTTTTGTTTTATGAAGGCCGTTTTAAAAAGAGCCACCGCCCATCATCTTCTTCATCTCATCTTGCAACAACGGCTTGATTACTTGGGTGAGTACGTCTCGGGCAACGGTGTTGAAATACTTGATGAACTCAGTGGCCACGACGTCAATCAGAGGGTCGAACAGCGAGATTTGTCCGTGGATGTGCACCTTGGTGTCGGTCAGCTCGTCAATGTTGAACTCATTCACGTCGGGCTTGCCATCGGTGCCAATGGCCGTTCCAAAGGTGATCGTCATGTGGCCAATGTCGGCTTCAAGCTTCAGGTCAGGGTGAATGAGCTGGCTGACCATCAGAGTCATGTCAGAGTTGGCTTTCACGTTGGAGTCGCCCAGCTGCAGCTTGGCGTTAAAGGAGCCGTCCTTGTTGGTCACCTTCGCGTCACCAACTCGGCTCGCCCTGGCTAAACCAGTGAGGACGGTTTTGTGCAGGTCAATTTTGATCTTCACGTCAAGGAAGCCGATGCGCTCTTTGACCGTCACAATGTGCTCTCCCATGGTCATTGGGTCAAAGTTGTTCTTTGCCTTCAGAGCTGTGATGAACTGGTCCACAAACTGATTGGCGGTGTCAGTAGCCTGGTCAGCAAAAACTGTTGCAAAAAGAAATGATTTGGTTAAACTTTTAAAATGATCATATTTTGGCAAACCTTACCCAAACCAGCCAAGCAGGCAATCAAAAGAATTGAAAAAGATTTCATTTTTATTTATTTGTTTGTTTGCTTGCTTGTTTAATTGCAGTAGAATGCTTGCAAGTTGCAGTTGTAAAATCTAACATTCAACTTTCCGTTTTTATATTATTTTACCAGTCTCATTGTCGTTACCTATCAGCATTTGATTTTTGTACTCCAAGTCTCACGTTGATAAACTAGTAATAATTAGCAAACTAAATTACCTTTTTGTTAAAAACATCCTAGAAAGGACGTGTCACCTGCATCTAATCTGATCAAGTTTTAAAGTTTTTAAAACAAAAATGTTTAAAATAAAATTTTAGTTTACATAAACTAGTTTCATTATTTTTAGGTGTCTTCTCTCATTGTGTGATAGTTTATGAAACCTATCAGTACAGCCAATTGATTAGCCACACAGGTTGCACTAAACTCGGTGATTATCGTTTGGTCGGTTTGATTTATGCTGTACTAATGTCAAGTTGCTGCAAACTAGCTTTTTTAACAATTAGACTCATGAGGATTTATTTGACAAGTTTAAATTAACTATATTTACCTAGTCATTAAAATTTGTAATTTACAGGTGTTTTTCGTGTTTATTGTTTTGTTTTTAATTTTTGACTTTTAAACAAATTAACAACTTTAATTTTTTAAAAACTTTATTATGTTTTACTTTCATCACAACTTTAATGTTTCCGTTTGCTTAGTTCATTGTATGCAAGACTGATTACAAAAAACAACTAAAACGCAAAGTAGTATGCATTTTTCAACATTAAATAATTTTGTTTAAAAACTATTTTCAACTAATCAAACTAAAAACATTTTTTAATTAAATTAAAAAATTGCTAAAAAGAAATCATATTACTAAAACCCAAGTTAGTCCTCCAAACCTAAACATGCCCTCTTGTATATGATGCCAGAAAGCAACAATTGATTAAGTGGCCAGCCAAAGCTATCATCACCAAATCTAACCGTTTGGCTGTAATGACAATTGCTGATGAACAGCAAAAGAAAAAAGTGCGAGCAGGCCAGCCGGCGCCATCCAAATGCATTAGTTGTAAAGATGACTGAAGCTAAAGTGAGAAAAGGAGAAAAGCCTAAAGTAGTGGAAAATATAGTGAGTAACAAACCTCTTATGATAACATGAGTGCCCAGCAGAAAAGTGTTTAGTGATAGAGAAAGTCGCCGGTTCTCACATGTAAGCAATGTAGTTATCCGCAAGTGGAGGCTGCTCTGATAACCGATTAGTGGGAACCACTTACAGGTGTATCACAAAAAGCTTCTCTAAGTCAATATGCAAAACATTTTTTTGCAGCTCACCGTAGCAGTAGTAGCGCCAAGTACGATTGAACCCAATCAATTAGATGGTATTGGCACTCAAAGTTCAGGATACTACCACCTTATGACGCCCACAGATCCAGGTAGAGTGTTTAAGTTTAATATAAAAACACTTCTCCCGGCAAAACGGTCACCTCATCTCGCCTCTTTCCCCTCTTCTGTGATTTACGCCGGTGATTTATTTTTTAACCATTTCAACTTCTCAATCAATCCATTTTTAAAAATGTCCGCTCAATTTGATGGCAAGTACAAACTCAAGTCCTCGGAGAACTTTGACGCTTTCCTCAAGGAAATTGGAATTGGCCTGGTGACGCGAAAGCTCGCCAACACTGCCTCTCCCACGCTGGAGATCACCACTGACGGCGATTACACCACCATCAAGGCCGTAGCCCCCTTCAAGACGCAAACTACCCGTTTCAAGCTGGGTGAGGAGTTCGAAGAGGAGCGCATGGACGGCAAGAAAGTCAAGGTAAGCAGAAAAATTGAATTAAAAATAAAAATGTTTTGGTTATTAATCAATTTCCCTTTTTTCTTCCTGCAGTCTGTTGTCACCGCCGAAGGCAACGTTTTCACACAGATCCAAAAAGACAAAGACCTGGAGATCAAGTACGTCCGAGAGTTCACCGACGACGAGATTAAGGTGACCTCCATCTGCAACGGTGTCTCCTGCCTGAGAATCTACGGCAAAATCTAAGCAATTTTGTAAATAATATAATTGTAATCCGTGTAAATTGTTGCAAATAAAGCATTTCTAAGAAAGAGAAGCTGTCAACACCATCATGACCAATCTGTCTCAGCTGACAAACTAGACACCTTAATTTAATTAAAGTATTTCAAATAAAACTTGCAACAAAAACCAAAAAAAGAGGAAGAGAGAAGTCAATAATGACAACAACGACAACAGCAAAAATGAGCAAAGACTGCATTCATCATCTGTCACATTANGTGACCAATCTGACAAACCAGCTGACAAACTAAAGACACCTTAATTTAATTAAGGTATTTCAATTAAAACTTGCAACAACAACCAAAAAAAAGAGGAAGAGAGAAGTCAATAATGACAACAACGACAACAGCAAAAATGAGCAAAGACTGCATTCATCATCTGTCACATTAAGGACACGTTCGACGTCAGTAGCGGCAGCAGTATTTGAGAATGAGAAGCTGAAAAGAAAAAAAAGTGTCATAAAAAATTTACATTTTGGGAAATTTTCGTTGAAACAGATACTACCACTGCTAGTGTGTGAGGGAGGGAGAAAGAGAGGGGGTACCCTCACGCTTATATGCCCAAAAGGTAGCCGAGATCACTGGTGTTAGTAAAAACTTTCCACTCTTCCCCAACACTTGGCAATGCACATAATAAATCGTACTATTTATTATTGTTTAGCTGTGTGTTGCCAATATTTGCCCTGTCTGTCTGTGTGTGCTGTGCTGTGCCACCTGCGCGAGGGGTTATTGCATTGCAGTGGGTGATCGCACCCCTTCAGGCGATAATTGTACTGAATAGCAAGTTGCACTCTCTCGAGGTTACTTCAAACGGTGGTAACTGACACTAGTGTTAACAATCGCTGGTGGTCTTCTCTGCTATTAAAGGTCATTGATAGATGCTCAGACAGCTGTTCAGTCGATAGGAGGTAGTTTCTGTTGACCAAGTGATTGAACATTTTAAATCGATAAAGTTTTTCTTTTAATTTGATGATTAACACATTGATTCTTCTGTGTGATTTAACACTTTTCAACGACGATGACAATGTCCTCCGCTAAAGAAATAGCCATCGCTTGGCGGAACTTGCACTACCAAACGAGCAGCAACAGTTTCAGTGGCAAATTGGGTGAAAACACTGTCACCATTCTTCAGCCAATCAGTGGCCACTTTGAAGTGGGCTCCCTTAACGCTATACTGGGACCTAGCGGAAGTGTAAGAGTTATTTTTTGCTTAACAAAACAAACAATAATTTTCCACTTGTTTATAAAAAGGGCAAATCTACGCTGCTAAACTGCCTTGCTGGTAAGTGCTCCATCAAGGGCGACTTCTTCCTGAATGGGCGAATCAACTTTAGTCACACTTCTGCGTGTTCCTCCTTCATTGAACAGCAAGTCCAGCTGTCCATCAACGGCCAACTGACAGTAGGCGAGTTGCTGCAGTACGCCTTTTCCTTCAAAAATTACCGCCACAATCAGTTGAAAGATGAAGTCAGCTCAGACGAGCTCATCGAATCGGTCATCAGAGAGCTGATGCTCGATAANTCGCCTTTTCCTTCAAAAATTACCGCCACAATCAGTTGAAAGATGAAGTCAGCTCAGACGAGCTCATCGAATCGGTCATCAGAGAGCTGATGCTCGATAAGTCCATTTTGAAGCGGAAGTTTGAGCTTTGCAGTGGAGGAGAGCAGAAACGAGTGGCCATTGCTCAGGAGCTTCTAAACGTTGAGAAGAAGCCCTGTTTGCTGTTCGGCGATGAGGTCTGCACCGGTCTGGACACCGCCTCGGCCCTCGAGGTGATGAGCTGCCTAAAGAAGTTGACCACCCGCTACGACATGACAGTGATCGTCTCGATTCACTCGCCGAGCAGTGCCATTCTGGCGCTCTTCAATCGACTGTACGTTCTAGCGAGAGGCGGTGTCTGCGTGTACGCTGGTCGGCCAGACAGCCTAGCCAGGTACCTCCAGGTTGAGCTGCAGGTGGAGGCAGCTAAAGTGGCACAGTACCAGCAAACGGCGGAGCTACTGCTGAAGGCTGCCTGTACAGGTAAGCAGGTGGGAATGGGTAAGATGCACTTTCTAAACACTGTACTCTTTGCAGGCACGACAAACCCCCGAATACTGCGACTATCTCAGAAAACCCGCCAGCTTGAAAACCAGGCCCTCAGTGCTCGTCTCTCCGAAGTGAAGCACTATCCCTTTGGCTTGCCGGCAAACCACTGCACCTTTTCGCTTTCTCACCTGGGCACTGCCCTTTCCCGTTCCCTTCGCCTGCTCTTCATTGTCGACTTTCGT